CCCTCTCTTCTTTTCTTTCTACTAGCAAAACAAAGAGCAAGCTTATTAAAAATAAAACGATTATAAACAGGTGTTTTTGCACCACCCTTCTAGAACAAATTAAAATAGATGTAACAATAAGAGTAGGCTCCATAGAAATAAATGTTTATCCAAACAAAAAATGGTTGACCTTCGATATATATTTTATTCATTATCAATTATAATAAAATACACAAAGGTATTTTTTATTTGAGATGAAGTAACTAAGGTCATATGTATATATAGCTAAATTGGCGCACAAACTATTACACAATACCAAAAAGACAAATGGCCCCAACATCACAAACCTTGTAACAAACAACGGTATCGTCAGGGTACATTGCAAATAGTTTAGTTCCCAGACGAGCATGACAAGAACTGCAGACACTCTCATCATTAATAAGAACATGACGCGACCTTTCTTCCAATCTTGCCAAGCTTGCATCAATATCCAAAGCACGGGACATATTGTGCACAATCTGATAACATAAAAACTTACAGATGGTCAAGGCTGGAAATAGCACACACTGTACAGTGAACAAAATTTAAGGCTAGAAATTCATCACAGATATCTCCATGAGTAGAGCCAAGCTAACGGAATCATTTTAACCATAAAAATTCCAAGGCAAAATATCCTAGATTAGATATTCCTAGGACCGACCCACTCAATATCCAACAATATGAATCAAAAGAAATAAGTAATCCAGAAGCAACAATGACAAATTTTAAAAGAGAAATTAAAATGGCCAAAAACAAACTTTCTACAAAGAATGTACGTGTCTATATCATAATAGAAGAGATGTGAAGCTTATGGTGACATTAATTAAACTATTAGTAGCAACACATCCCAAACATACCTGTCCTTGACGATGATGATGAAGTCGAGCTCTCAGCATTCTTAATATTGTATCAGAGGCAAGCTGGAGTGGCATGGTAGGAGACAATCTCTGCAAAAGAAAAGTTTAATACAGCCAGTAATGAAGAGTTGACCAAAAAACCAAGTAAAGATAATAGTGTAAAAAACATTGTTCACACAAACAACCTTTCTTAAATTTGGGTCACTTCCTCTTCATTCAGCTGAAAAACGCAACTTTTGAAAAGATGGCCCCTTAAGAATAAATTTTCTTTTGTGTTTGGCTCTGTGTAACCATTCATTGTTGTTTAGGCATAAAAGATTAAAAATTATTAGTTTTAGCGGAATTCTGTATAAGAGAAATTCTGTGTAAGGGAAATATGCTCATCATATTTGAAGAAGGCTTTGTGCAACCTATCATTGTTGGTTAGGCAGAGAAGAAGAAGAATTGTTAATTTCAGTGGAATTTTGTAATTATTACGTTTAGAAAATGAAGTTTATCCTACTCATTCTCCTCCATCTAATTGTTTTTTTCTGCACAACAATTCATAAAATAAATAAGGGAATATGCTCAGCATGCAATTGAAAGCAGGATTTCTGCCAATATGAAAGGGGGTGGACTCCTTGACCTAAAACTTAAAGCATTACATTAAAATACAAAGGAAATAGCTGTGGTACTTAATTGCTTCCAACATATGTAACAGAAAGGATTTCATTCTGTGCAACCTATCATTGTTGGTTAGGCAGAGAAGAAGAATAATTGTTAATTTCATTGGAATTTTGTAATTCTTACGTTTAGAAAATGAAGTTTATCCTACTCATTCTCCATCTAATAGTTTCTTTCTGCACAACAATTCATAAAATAAATAAGGGAATATGCTCAGCATGCAATTGAAAGCAGGATTTCTGCCAATATGAAAGGGGGTGGACTCCTTGACCTAAAACTGAATGCATTACATTAAAATACAAAGGAAATAGCTCTGGTACTTAATTGTTTCCAACATATGTAACAGAAATGATTTCATTCCAAGTATTCCTCTATAAAGCATAAAGTGCAAGCGGGAGAAATAGAACTTGTACCTCCAGGACTTGCAACGGATCCAGCATTTCTCCATGGTTGTGGAGAAGGCGAACTGCAGCTTTAAACATGGGCTCTCTACCATCCTTTGGATTCAAATACATCTCAAGTAACCTGATGATATAACATACACATGAAAGTAATATTATGAGGAAAGTTCTTATCATGGCATTCATTGAACTGGAAAGTGAGACAGATGAACTAACTGCATATAAGCATCTGGTCTACCAATTTCCACACAATATTGTTCAGCAGCTTCACAGTCCTCCAGTTTCCTGAGATAAAGTAAATGTCCAATATCGTTTTATGTCCTAATAAATAGTCATTTATTATACATGCTAGCTGAGCAATTATAACCCTCAACTCTTCTATAACTAAAGACTACCTTATAGTTTATTTTTTCATTCATCCCCATCCAATCAAAGACTTTTGGGGAGTTTGGTAAATTCATTTCTGGAATCATAAGATAAAAAAATATTTTTTTACCAACTTGTCATCCTCATCATTTATCTTCATAGGTGATAAAATAATCATTTATTTCACATGCTAGTATACCGATGTGTACAGAGTGCATTCTAATGAGAAATGACAGCGTGTTGCTATTTAGCTATTTAGAAATCAAATGTACCAAAATCGAACCATGAGAACTCAATAGAATAGACAAGATTGGAATCATCTGTTTGCAATTTCAGGGACTGAGAATGGAAAGGGAGTGTATACAATCACTTTGACAACAAACCGTAAACTTACAAGGCCAAAATCTGAAGCACTAACGTTTCATGACCAAGCTTACGGTAAAGAATAGCCTGTCAAAAATCATGATGCTACGTCAGAAATAAAAATACGAGAATCAAAATCATCTTCAGTTGCTTAACAGTAAACTATTCAAAAAGAAATCATTTTCAGCTGCTCAAGTGCCTAAAGGGAACTGAATGCACAGCAACAAGTAAAACCTAAGATGACTCAAAAAATCATCGAAAACCTTTTCCAGCCATAATTCAGATTCTTCAATCAAATCAAGGACGTCTTCCGCATCATACAAGTCTGATGACTCTAAAAAGATCTGCAATCTCTCCCTGACAGGAGTATCAAAGATTGAGTCTTCTCCAAATTCAGAAACATACATCTCATTTTTTAGCATGCCAGCAACAGAGTTTTGAGTTGATAGTTCCATCTCATAAGTTTCAAGTGCTGACTTGGCAAGTAAAAGTGCATACGTAGTATGAAATCGAGTGTCATCAGAGTATTGTTCTTCAATCAACCACTGGAGATATCTGCACTAGTAAGCGATAAGCATTAGAATTTAATTTGCAGTAACTAATATGATACCTAACATGGATGTTCGTGACAAAGAAGAGAAGGAAAGATGTGCACTTCTTAGTTCATATTTAAGTATCTTATTTACAGCTGATCCTGGGTTAACTAATCCACACTTTTATACATATATAGGCCAATTTGACAAATCTTAACCAATTTCGTAACACTTAGTCAAGAATTATTAAGTTTACTCTTGAATTTAAGGAGTTAATTTGCAGATAAAACTAAAAAGAAGAACATTTCCATTTACAGAAAAGCTTATTAAATAGGTGAGGAGTTTCCAAATCAAATGAGATCGCCAGAGCACATAAATTGCAATATTTCATGAACATTTTGAACCAAACAGCATTATCAAAAATATGCTGAGAGACAAATCTCAGGGAAAATTATGGTACGAATTCAAAAACCAAGAGACAGATAGAGAGACACAAGCCTACTGTAAAAAAGAACCAAGTTGAAGCACTATGCCCTCGGAACATCATAAACTTTTTCTTTCCTTCTATTGTAGCACCCACCCCCACTTAGAAGTTAGTAATACCCAATACCAACGTTCAAAAAAAAATTATTGAGCCTGTTCTATACTGCAAAAATTACCAGGCCATACCTTTGAAGAATTTCCACTTTTTTGAGATCAATTGCAGCAATAACGTCATCTGAAATTTGGAGCTTACGTTAGAATCAACCAAAAAAAAAAAATTAATCAATGAAGGATGTAAGAGCAAAAAAGATATTATAATTGCAAGCTTGATTCTTATACAGCTTTGAAGCCAATATTCCTGAACATGTGCTCATTATAAGCTTTACCTGGTGATAGCTGATTAGTTCTTTTTTCTGATATCAGTACTTGAACAGCAAGCATCTGGTTGATATCTGCAATCTAAGGCGAAAAATCAATAACCCATCAGCAATCAGATATGCCATACGTAAAGCACAATGCTTATAATTTCAAAACTACTGTTACATACCCATCCAAGATGCTGAAGTACCAGTTCTTGGTCAGAAGACTCCTCAAGAATCCTTGATGCCTCTAATGCAGCTGTTTCTCGGCCAAATATAACATTTCTAGAAGAAACGTTTAAATCAGTAGTCGTATCTTCATTCTCTCTTGTTGATCCAGTTTCCTCTGATTGTCCTCTATAATATCTTCCCTGTGAATAATTTCTAGCAAGTATGCGCCAAATACCCAGAGCTTTAGCACTCATCCCCTTACGAGCATACAAAAAAGCAAGTGCCCTTAGGTGACCAGAGTCATTCAATAAAGCTTCTAACTCCTCCTGCACTGCCCATTGATTTTCATAGTTAATGTTTAAGCTGCTCAACAATCCCAATGACAATTATTAATCAATAAATTGCAATTCACAGAGGTGCATACAAGAAACTAATGCCAACTCTATAATTAACCCTAAGAAAATAGTATGAAACCTAAAACCCTACAAAAGATTGTAAGCTTCAGCAAAGAAAATCATATAATCAACTTTGAGATCTCAATGTACAAATGGCAATTCATTCAACAAAAGTCATGACTTAAGGAGAAGAACAGGAAGAACCATACAATTTGTAATTCCGGTAGAGAGAAGGGGGTGGGGGAGTTCAACAGGGCTCACAACTTCTAAGAGTGGAACCTATAACTGAATTCTTTCTGCCAGCTAAAGAACGGCAGTGATATCAAATGAAATTAAGATTCATCACTCTACTTGAAACTTGACCGCCGTGTACAAACAAAAGAATTTTTCAGATAAACGAAGTGTACAAACAAGTTAAGCCAGTCCATAAATGAAAATTCCAGTTACGCAAGGAAAAAGGTGCAATAATGCATACCACTACACAGCTGTTCTCACTAGATGCAAGTCTTTCCATATCATCTACACGATTGAGGGCTCTATACAGATACATTAGAAGTGTGTCAACTCCCTCCCTAACTGAATGGGTCAAATCTCTATCACGACAAGCTTGCAAATATCTACAACAAATAAGCGTAGTTAGAGTGAGAAGATAAGATATAAATTGAGATAGTGAAAATACAGAATGATTTATCCACACATAAGACATGTCCCTTCTTTATCTGCCAAAGTTAATTATTTACCAACTAAAAATCAGAATCACCTTATCATGTTTTGGATTGCAGACTCTAACAAATCAGCTCTACTAGGTGGATTTAGATGAAACTCATCACTTACAGCAGTCTCCACACCTGCCTTCTTAAGAAAAACAGCTCTTTGAATAGCTGTCAACCCATCATCTATAACATTTTGAAGAGGTGCTGGAGGAGGATGCAATCCCCAATACCGGTTCCTGGGAACCTGAAAATACACAATTCATTGAGTTGTTCTCAGACAATTCAAAAAAAAAAAAAATGAAAAATACATTGAAAAACAGGGAAGGTGCTATACGCGATACACACAATGAAATGACATGTAAGTATGCATGTGCAGAAAGAAGGGAGATTGGCGGAGAGAAGTGTTCTATTTTTTTTTCATTTATCAATTGCACATTCCTCCATCTGTCTGTAGTATCAATAATAAATACAGAAGCTACAGCATCTTCGTTTTATGTTTTACTTATTTCTCCTAAGTCCCTAGATAATGCCCTTGTTTGAGCCCCATTTTTGCGAAGAAAATGAATTTTTGAATAGTGTATTGACGGGAAATGTGTGGTTAAAAAATAAAGCAAAATTTTTGATTTGCGTATAATATTATTTTATTGAAGAATGTGTGGTTGAAATGATGTCAAATTACTGTTGAAGAATATATTTTGGTTGAAAAATGGGGCTCAAACAAGGGCAATAACTCAATAGACAACTATAAACCAAAGAGCCAAAAGCTAAGCTTCGTAATTATAAGCTTGGTGCTAGATACCTCTTATGAATGGTCCAGTCAAATCGAATAATTTTCACCACATCAAGGACATGTCAAATTTGGCCTCTCTCTCTCTCTCTCTCTCTCTATTCTGTACCATTCCAGTGAGATAGCATCTCTGTTCTGAAAGCAAGATCCTTTAGAAAAAGCTAGCTATAAGCTCAGTAATATTAATTTTATCAATTATACAAACACAATGCTGTTTTGACAGCTAACATAAAACTTCAACACATCTTATCACATGAATCCGTTTGAAAATTATTCATGTAACCAACCCCAAACATAATGCGGCTCAATTTTTTGGTGATGTATACAACCACCACGTGTTAGTGTTTATTGAGGATAGCATGTTTTACATGACATCCACAGAAATTTCCATTAACAAGAAAGGGAGTGTAAGCAATCGATAGATAATTGACTACAAAATACATGTGACATGTTATCCTGTCCAGCACTAGAATTCTTAATAATGAAACCCTTCCCTTAACCTTCTATCATAAATTCATATGTTTTGAGGCAACGGCAATTCTTATTCAATCGAACACAATTGTGGAAAGACCAAACACATACCCAGTTTAACACAACCTATCTAAAAACCTTGATTGAAACAAAAACACGTAAGCCTACCAATTGCTAAATCACTTCAGGAGTAATGGTTTGACTATTAATTATAAGAATAGCAAACGACAAGTGAATGTTAAATCATAAGCATTTAGATATACCATCAGGGTCCAGCGATTTGGGTCCCGCAAGATAAATGGGAAAAGCTCAGAAGGCTGCATTGTTTCTGAAAGCAAAAAGTGATCCACTGCTTCCTCAAAGTGCAAGTCAAACAACAAGAGGAAGCCGACCTGGGCATGGACAAAAGAAAGCATTTCTTTTGTCAGTTCACCTTCACTCTGTAGCTCTTCAACCAAGGAAATGGTTTCTTTGAAGTTCTTCTTTCGCAGCAGATCCTTGATTTGTTCTTCTCCAGAAACTTTTCTGTAGCACAGAACCTTGCATTGAGATGGATTACATATTACGTCAGGACGTCTCAATAACCAATACATAACACATCAATTACGTCTCAATTCAAAAGTACTAAGTTTAAGCTCATATATATTCAATTCAAATCCCAGTGTAGATCACAAACGTGACCCCAGAATTACAAAATCTTTCCTAGCTCAAATCATACAATAACAGGTACCACAAAAATAGTTACCAGAATCATGTCCAGATGCATAAGTCACACCCATATGTTTAGTCAATGGTTTTGATTCGCACGATTACTTTTACTCTAAATTGTAGCAATAGGTCATCTTACAGCAAGCCTTCAACTTTTAGCATATAGTATAATTAATTACTGAACTAAAAAGCACATTATTTTCCTCAACTCCTCATCTTTTATCAGCAAATCCATCAGAAGCTGTGGACATTTTGAAACACATCTTTCCCATTGTGTGAAATATGTCAAATTAAAAATGTATGCAACATTTTGGTAATATACTATTAACAAAATTTGGAAAAAGATTTCAAGCTAAAGAATCCCATACCTTTGAACATGTTGTTATGACAAGCAGCTTCCCACTCTCATTCTCCTCACCATTCACAATGCATAGCCCTCCACCTCCATCCCCAACAACCATAAACCTCTGAACACAATCTCCTGTCTTCTTATGATACAACTCCGCCTCAGCATTCCTCACACCAACCACATAAGACCCAATTTCTCCAATGGAATCAGGAACCTCCTTAAACACCAAGCTGCCACCCACAGGTTGCCCCTCAGTATCCACAATAATACCCACATTGTCGACCATCAATAACACCCTACACTCCCTAGCCAACAACTTCAGCTGTGGAGAACTAGAAGAATCTGGTAGGGAAAAAATCAATCCACATTGTCCATTTACACAATTATACAAATAATACCCAGTCTTAGAACCAAAAACTAAAGAATCATCTACCCACACCAGATTCATTATAGTCCCGTCGAAAATGCCCTGAATCTCCTTCAAAATCACCAAAGACCCACTTAGAATCAACTCCGCCAATACCAACTTTTTTCCCATCCCAATCGCAAATAAACTATTGCCATTGCTATTATTAGCATTAGCATAGTTATGATTAGTATAACTTCCACCGTTAGATGTTTGGGGAAAAGGGTTATTACCCAACTTTTGGACTCGGAATTTACGACAACATGCAGTAACGCCTTTGATAAGACTAATTCTTTTAGCAGGTTGGAGTAATTTATCATCAAGCAAAAAGAGAAAGCCATCGCAGTGTACTACAACTTTACCGATGTGGGCAAGTGGGTGGATCGAATTTACAGAGCTACCAGAGCCGGATATGGAAACGCGTCTGAGAAAAGAAATTCCGGGAGGGGAATCCGGGGAATACTTGAGAGAATATAACAACAGAGTTCCGGAGAGGGTACCGAGATAAACTAATGTTTCGGTGTCAGAGAGTTTTGAGAGTGACACAGATTTGATCGGAGAGTTGTTGGTATCTACGGCGGAATCTGCGAGGGGTTCAAGAACTGTGCGGGACTTGGGTTTTGCAGCCATTGGGATTCTTAGGATTTAGGGAAAGTTGGAAAAAGCCCCCGCCGGAAAAATTATCAAACGCCGGCCGCTAACCAGACCGCCTTCTCATTCTCTACTCTCATCGTGATAACCAAATTCTCCGGGCTGGATTTTGAATTCCGATTCCCAAGCTTCTGCTCTAAATTTATCGTTTTTCTTTGACTACTAGTTTCATTCAATTCAACTAAAATCGTGTACAATAGCGTCCATTATATTCGTATGATTATAAATATAAAGAAAGTATCGACCACTTAAATTTTTCTTTGAATATAAAATATCCTATCATATAAAAATGGCAATTCTAGAGGCACGTAGGGGTAAAATTGGATTCTTTCATTTTGTCAAAATGTAGCAATTTTTTTTAATTATGGAAACAAAAATAACGTCGTTTGTCTTAAATCATTTATCTATTTTCACACGCCATTTTATTGCAATTATCACCTCCACTGCAATATTTTCCACTTTCACACACTACATCCAGCTGATAAAGAAGGAAATTGAATGATTTAACAAATTAAACAATAAAAAAATTACAAGCTAAAATAAAAAGAAAAAAGTTATTATAAAGTTTTGAAATTAAATTGAAATAATTAAAAATAAAATAAATATTATTTAATTAAAATTAAAAAAATTGCGTTTTATCGTAAAACAAAAAGAATTAAAAAGAATTTTAAATCAAACAAAAAATTATTTATAATATGAAGAAAAAAGAAATTTTAAAACAAATTTAAAAATATGTATGTGTGTAAGAAAAACAAAATAAAAGAAAATTACTTAAATTAAATAAAGAATATATAAATTTCATTTAATTAAAATTAAAAAAATTAAGATTTATCGCAAAAAGAAAAGAATTAAAAAGAATTTTTTTAAATCGAAAAAAATTATTTACAATATGAACAAAATAAAATGAAACCAAAAAAATAAACAAATTCATTAATTAATTAATGTGGGATGGAGAGATCTCTCCGTGATTTCTCCATCCAACCATCCCGCTGCGTGTGAATGTGTGTGGAAGAAAAAAATCTCTCCATCCACGGAGAAATTTTTTTTCCCTTTTTTTTTTATTTGTTTTGCTTGTATTATAAATAATTTTTTTCAATTTAAAATTCCTTTTAATTCTTTTCTTTTAACGATAAAACTGAATAAATAAAATTTATAAAAAGTTGAATATGACTAGTTAGGGATGTCAACGAGCCGAGTTGAGCCGGCACGCGAGTCGAAACTCAAGGCTCGAACTCGACTCGAGTAAATGAAATGGGATATTTTCGAGCGAAGCAAAAGCTCGACAAAAAAAAAGACTCGACCCGAGCTTTCGACTTGGATCTCTCTCTCTCTCTCTAATTACATTGGCACTGCTACCTTGTTAAAATAAGGCAGCAAGCCGCTAGCTGCCTTTTTTTTCGTGGTGTTTTATTTTTTATTTTTTAAATAAAGCCCGAGCCCGAGTCGGCAAGCCACACGGGCCGGTTCGGGCTAAGCCCAGAACCTTAAAATGGGGCTCGACACAAGCCTCGAGCCGACTCGGCTCTTACTTTTTTAGAGTCGAATCACGGGCGGCCTGAGCCGATAAGCCTAATTGACATCCCTATGAGTAGCTACATAGTTGGTGTCTTGTCTTGCACAATGGTAATTCTTTAACTATCTTAAGAAGGTTATTTTTGAATAAATTTGATTATTTATAAATTTCTATAAATAATTATTTTTTAATATTTAAAGTTGAAAACTTGAGAAAAATAAAAATAAAAATTAGTTAGTTACTTATTTTGATAGAAGGTTGAAAAAAATGTAAAATCTGAAAACTAATATGTTCAAAAATTTGGGAAATTAAAGTTATTTGAAGGTAAAATTTACATTTTCTGAAGATAGTAATACACATTAATTTCATCGATATGCTTACATATAATTTATTTCCTTGGAATGGAAGATCTTTATATTATCCGGTGAAAATACTAGAAAATTACAAAAACATGTGGCGAAAATAATAAAATATTAATAAATAACTTTTATTTCTAATCCTCGCGTGTCAACTTGGAATTGCTTTTGGAGACAACGACGGGTTCTTGATATGTTTCTTTGTTAGAATATAATTGATTTTAGTAGTATTTTCGATGCTATGACGGTTGATTGGTGAGTTAATTTGATCGAATAGGGTGTTTGGTATGAAATAGTAAATTGATGGGCAATATGTGGTTGAAAAATAAGGAAATTTTTTTGATTTACGTGTAATATTATTTTAATGAAAAATGTGTGGCTGAAAAGAAGAGAGAAAAAAATGCATTTTGAAAAAAATGAGTACCAAACGGGGTGTAAATGAAACAATGTTTATTTTTTGTTGAGATTTGTCAGTAATTCTGTTCTTCGAATATGTAAGAGTGACATTTTCATTCATGTAGATAGAAAATTTGAAAAGACTCGCGTCTCATTAATGGACAAAATGTTTACTAATACTATGGTTTGTGTCTTGTTTGAGTGTGTAAGAGTTACATTGTTGTTAACATAGATAGAAAATTACTCGAGTGAAGGTAAGCTATGACGGTCGATAATAATCCAATCTTTATCGGGACGGCATAAGCACCGCTCCACCGGAAATTCCCTTTGCCCCTACCGTACTCCATTTTGGTAGTTTCCACCTCCTATCCAGAGTTGAGCCCTAGGATTTAACGACGGATTTAAAAAGCCACCTACAGGACGCATATGCAAGAAGCAAAACCAGGATAGTCACATACATCAACCCTAATACAAAAATGAATATAACCACATGGAAAAACTCCTAGAACATTTTTTATTAACCTTCAGGAATTCAATAATGAAAACTTTCTTGAAAAGAATCAATTAAAACCCATATCACCAACTCATTAGAAAAATGCAATGTGTTAAAACTGGATCAATTCCCGACTTAGGCAAGAACTACACAAACTATTTCATAGATGCAAAACTAATTATGAATTTGAAAGTTTTATTTATTTTTTGATCAAGCTTCCTGACTTGTTATGTCGCAGAAGATGCTTGGGTGGATTCAAGGAAGATAGATTATGCAATTTTGAAATCATACTTGTCACAATATTATAGAATAATATAAACTGATCTATTACAGAAAGTACAAAAATAACAGGAAATAAAACTGCATCGATATATATTTTCACTAAGAATATTGTAATTCTGCAACTTGAGGCATGTGTGCACACAGTTTCCTTAAAACAAATTGTTCCCTCACCATAGGTGCTTGAAGTTCAGTTTGGACATTTGTCTCCCAAGATACAATGGAATAATCGGTAGAATCTGAGCACTTAAATTTCTACGCTAGCGAAATGAATCTGTGCCAGAATAGTACCACCAAGACTTCCCGGGATATGGAAAATTTTTCTAAGAACTAGAACTGAAAATCATGCAGAGATTCGAAACTGGAAATGCTGAAGAATAATTCTCTAGTTGTGAATGGTGGAAAATGGCCTTAGTTATAATTTTGGCCCCCATGAATGGAGAATAAATTTGTCCATTAACTCAATATTGTAATGGCAATTACCATTGGAGTTTCAACAATTTTGGAAGCCAAAAAGTCAGTTGAAGAAAGTCAAAAAAAATTGCAAAACGTGGACACCTCTAAAGACCCAAATTTTACTTGGTTTGATCCAATATTCGTGTACGTAAGTCGCGCTCGCACACAAATTCAAGGCTCAATATACGATTTTGATCCTTTATTTGCACCCTCCCTTCGCGTGTACGTGGAGATAGCCTCTATCCCACACATGATTTCATCAACTTCCTATGTAGGATTAACTTCAATATTGTTTTCCCTCCTACATAAATCATTTTTCAATCGTCTACTTTGAACTCCAATTTCTTATTCACACATTTATCATTTTTGACAAGTAAATATACGATTTCAATCTTCTCACGAAGGAGAATATAGATCAACTTTGATTTTCCAAATTGAAACAACGGGGTCCCAGCTAAAATTGTGCAAAAAGTTAGAACCAAAGCCATTTTTCCAACAATATTAACCATTGATGGGATATTATGGTCAACTGCTCCAAAATGGCTAGAACCCCCACCTTCTGTCATCACGCTTAAATGTCCAGTCAAGCCACCCAAGTTGTGGCTCTCTGCCAAGAATGGGAGCTTAATCTTGACAAAATATATTTTCGCCCTGTATTCTCGTACATTTTCATGTTTGCCATCCTCTCCCTAATTTCTGTCAACTCTGATACAAGCTAACTATAGAGGCCATTGCCATCTTCAGACAATGCAGAAGATAGAATGGTTGCTCTCCTGTTTGTCAACACTGCCTATGCTTTTTACAAATTTCTCATTTCAACCATCTGTTTTTCTTCTGCAATGCCCTTTGCCACCCAGAAGCGATTTCTCTGTCTATCAACCTCGACGCTCACTATCACATCTGTAGGAGACAAAGTCGTAGGTCTGCGTATCTCAACTCTCTCGCCTCCACGTCCTCTGTCTCCTTTGATACAACATCCCTGTAAGTGAGGTCTGTCCCCACGCCGTAATCACCTTAACACCAGCAAATGCTATAATTGACAAGTTGACAAGGAATTCTTTCTCGTCATCTACATATAAGTCTCCAACTGTAATTATGTTGGAAAATAAGGGGTTGAAGAAGAAACAATAACAAAATTATAGAAACAAAATGAATTAGAAATCATGAAATATGTCAAGAACGAATTTGAGGCTTGAACACGGGATCGTTGTCCTCAAACTATATTTGCCCCCTCTCCATATGAAATGAGATTCTTAAGGGTGTTATGGCAAATGGTTTGAAGGATTTTAACAAGCCTTAATGCAAAAAATAACAAAGCACGAGAAATTTTTCGCCAAAACTTTATAAACACAATAAAGAAGAAATGAATATGAGTTATAACAGGGATTTGATTATTTGTGAAACAATATATGAATTTCAAGATGTTTTTCTTGTTATTTTCCTTGAACATGGCTCCACTTATTTATAGACCTTCATCATGTACACGAAATGGTTCCAAAAACCAAGTGAAAGGTCACCAAATTTGAAATGAAAACGGTAAAAAATGGCTAGCCAACGGTCACAAACGCTACCATGCGACCGCATGGCATAATTCCATGTGATTGCATGGTTTAAATGTAACTAGCCCACAACCTCTCGGTAAGTGACTAGGCCATGCAGTTGCATGAGCTAATATATTGGGCAACCGTTTGTTTTTAATTTCAGCACCGTCCATCGTCCATTTTGTCTTTCA